GCCACAAAACACATCTTCCCAAGGCCTTGTGACTCCAAAGGCAGCACAAACACATCAGAAGGGCAGCCCCGGGAGAGGGGCTGCTGGCTGTGCAGGACAGCGTCAGCACGGCGCCAGCCTCCGGGGCGACTGCAGCAGCAGAGCTCAAAGGGACGCAAGGCTAAAGAACACCCAGACAGGTAGACTGAGACGCCTCAGCCTCTGACGTGGCCCAGGGCAGAGCTGGATGGGGCCTGATGGGCAGGAGGAGGGTGCCCAGTGTGTTGCCAACATCAGGATCATCTCAACAGAAGTCCCGCTGGCTAATCTAAACGCACGTGCACAGGATCCGCACAGACATCTCCCCAGAGATGATGAGTGGATGAGCGAATGGCTCCCGGCACCGGAGGACTCCCAGCCTCACCGGTGGCTGAGGCACAAACCAAGGCCGGCGGGAGATGCCCCCAAGGGGAAGGATGCTGCTGAGCTCAGGACTCCCGGGGGAGCCACTGGCACGGGAACATCTAAACCCCTGCCCTCTGAAGTCAGAGAGCGTCCAGCCCCCTCTCACTCTCCTGGCGCTCCTCACTGCTCCCCCAAGATCCCTGTCCTTGCCCTGTCCCAAAGCCAGGTCCAGCCCCCTCGCTGCCCATGCTGCCACTGCCGTGCTGACTGGCTTCCTGGCCCCCCACAGCCCGTTCACCCCTGTCCAGGTCCCTGGCGCCCTGCACTCCTCCGTCTCAGAGCACTTCCGCCTGGCTGCTGGTCCAGCTGCCTCTGCTCACTTGGCCTCGGGGGCTGCGTCCCCCCGGGAAAGTCTTCCCTGAGCCCCGGCTCTGGCTCCCACTATCTCCCTGCCACTCGGCCCCTGCCCATCCCGGTCACCCTCTGCTAAGATGCAGCCCCGCGGGAGGACAGGGAGCACCCCCAACTCACCGGGTCCAAAAGCTCATCATCCAGCTCCACGTTGCTCATCTGTCCGATTCGGAAAAGCGCAGCACGTGGTGACTAAAAGCAGAAGAGAAATCATGAGGACGCTCAGGCGTCACACGCTCTGCACCGTGGATTCTCACTCCCACCGCCGCAGCCCGGCCTCACCTGACCCTGCCCGGGAGCTCAGGAACGGGTCAGGCCAGGCCTGCCTGCTGGGTGGGGGCAGCAGGGCTGGGGTGGGCCTCCCTGGGTGCTGGAAGCAGGACTGCTCCGGCTGCCCCTCGGCCTGTCAACGAGAAGCCCAGCCCCTGAGCCCAGGGAGTGAGCTCTCTGCTTCAGACTGAAGGCGAGGCACCTGCCACCCACCAAGAAAGAAGAGCTGGAGAACACGCCGCCACCGACGCAGGGCCCGCCACAGCGCCCAGGTCATCCCGCCCAGCCCTGCCCCCGAGGCCCTGCTCAGCCTCCTGCCACCTCTACAGAGTCACCTCCACTGTGGCCTCTCTGAGTCCTGAGACACAAACGGCTCCCCAGTGTTCACGCTGCCCTCCCCACAGGACACCCAGCTGTCAGGTAGAGCTGGGCAGGCTCTCAGCCACCTAAGGCTTTGTGGCCGCCCCAGCTCAGGGCAGGGGCAGGGCAGCGGGCCCTGGGTGGCGTGGTGCACATGTGACCTACAGAGCTCCCGCCCGTCTCCGGCACCTCGCTAGAGCCAAGGCGCTGAGGCCAGGCTAGGGGGAGCCGAGACCTCAGCCTCCTTTCCTCAAAAAGATCCTTGGGAGAC